TGTGTGTACTGTGTATATGTATTATGTACTGTATATATAAATGCACACACATGCATATATATTTATTATATTTGTATATAAAAATATATTTATATATAATATAAATTATATAAATATGTACATGTAAATATTTTCAAAATATATACATGCATGTGTGCGTATTTATATATATATATATATATACTGTATGTGTGTGTGCAGTTGGTAAAACTGTACTATAATGCAATGTTTTTTTTTTTTTTATAAAGAGCATTGCTAAATGTAAAGGTTTTTTCTTTTACACCTGTGAGTACACATAATAAACATACACAGTACACACACATATATTATGTAAACAAAAACATTTATTTTGGATGCGACTAATCATGATTAATCATTTGGCAGCCCAAATTTTTATATATTTAAAATATATTTTTTTTATAGTTTTTGAGTAAACCATGACATAATTTTCATTTTTTGGTGAAAATTTCAGTTTTTCATTTTTTATTTAAAATGGTTGGTTTTCAGTTACATATGTTATTAAAGCAATATCGTTCAGAATCAATTAAATTGTAATTGTATTCATAATATTAACATTTCTGTTGCTTCATCTGTAACCTTAGATTGTGTAGATATTTTTTTTTGTGCTAAATTCATTGCATTCTGGCATTGCATTGCAATTGCTGACTTAAAATTTGGCCAAAAGAAGGTGTTTTAAGAGGCGGCACAAATTAAGTTTCCTAGGTTTTTGGAACAGACTTTGTGTGCTGCTGTCTACATCTATTAAAAACAGAAAAAACAGAAATAAACAATATTAAATGTCAGCTATTAAAGTAAAGACAAGAATATTACTGTAGAAAATTAAGTCTGCTAAAGCATTTTCCAGAGGGAAAAGCCAAGTTAATATTGTCCAAACAAGCATATTGAGTGTTTAATGAGCATATTCATCACACTCCTTGTTTAATATGAAGTCAACACAAACACATAGACACCCATCAGACAGGACACTCATATAAACAAGATTGGAGATGGATGGATGGTAAAAAGTAATTAGTCTAGTTTTACACCTGTTTATGTGTGAATTCTGTCTGATGAGTGTCTGTGTTTGCATTGCTAAAGATTATAAAACAAATAGATTGTCCAAGAAAAAGGTGAAAAGCGTGAACCTGGCTACTGTGATTTACAGTGCATGTTCTGTGTTCGGTGCAAGGTGGTTCTTCATGCCTTTTGAAAACAAAAAAGGCGGAAAAGAACGAATGCAGACGTAGAAATAAACTCAATAGTTGAAATAAACTGCTTATGACGTGGTAGCGGAGGCTTTAAATTGCTGTTCAAATATGACTTCATTGGACTGTGTTTCTGCCAGTGACTGTCCTCTTGTTGAAAACAAGCTTTTATAAATGCTTAATGTGGAACTTTGCTTCTCTGTATCCTGCAATGGCAAATTTATTTATATAGCACCATTAATTACAACCCATGGTTGTCCAATGTGCTTTACAAAAAAATAAAATGAAAACACAAAAACACATTTACTTAAAAATACACAAAGTATAATAAAAACAATAAAATGTAAGGCAGGAGAATGTTAATTTAGATTATAAGCCTTATCAAACAAATACGTTTTTAAGATAGATTTAAAAGTAGATACAGGTTTGTATTATTCCTCTTTTATATTTACAAATCCTCACTAGCAGGACACTAGCAGGACAGTTACACGATTATTAAATAAAACAAAGTCACAAGCTACAGAAAACTAACAGGCAGACCTGTCTGGATTTCAGGTAATAACCTTAAACTTATTCACAACAGAGTGGCCCTGTCCTTCCTCCATTTGGCTCTTTTCATCACAGGTCACGGACTGTCTGCTCTGTCTGTCACAAGTCTCAACCCTACATAACTCACTAGACAAATGCCTTCTTAGAAAACAGAACAGTATGAAAGTCATCTAAACATAAAAATACTTTCCTTTTTCTTAAAGGGGTCATATGATGCGATTTCAAGTTTTCCTTTCTCTTTGGAGTGTTACAGGCTGATTGTGCATAGATAAGATCCCTGAAGTTGCAAAGACTAAAGTCTCAAAACCAAAGAGATATTCTTTATAAAAGTTAAGACTCTGCCACGCCCCCCTAAAACGGCTCGTTCTAACACGCCCCCACATATCTACCTCACTATGTGGAAATATTCGCATAATGCCGCCCAAATGTTCACGCAAAGAAAGAAGCCGTGGTTTCAATGCATGCATTTTATGGACGACCGTTTCGGTGAACTGATGGTAAAACTAATGACATTATTTACTGTCTTTACATTTATTTTGAAAGATGAAGCTCGCGATTATGGTAAGGGGCGTTACATTTCCGATGAGTGCTTGCGGTGTTCGGCCAATCACAATGCACTGGGCATTTCAGCTGGCCAATCAGAGCAGACTGCGCTTGTCGGAAGGCGGGACTTTGTAGAAAACGAAGCGTTTGAGAGAGGCGGGGCATAGAGGACCTACAATAATGTACAGTATTGGAAAAATAATGTGTTTTTTGAACATTAAAGCATGTCAACATATTCTGTTTCACCAAATACACAACATAATGATCTTTAAGAAAGCATCATATGACCCCTTTAAAGCTGCAGTGCGTAAGTTTTGCCTCTTTGTCGCCATCTCTATTTGAAAACCTGGAATTGCAGCTGCGTGCGGAATTATCTTCCTTGTGTGGGTTGTGAGTCGGCATCGAGATGAATCTAATGTTTTGAAGAGTATGTGTGGCTGTCAGTCACTGCACTGGTGTGGACATTTACTGTACTTCTCAGTCACAGATTCTAGCCTACATCTTGGAATATGACCCAAATAAGAATTTTCACCGGATATTGTCATCTGAACAAGTCTGCCACGTTTGTTCTGACCACCTGAGGAAAAAAGAATTACCATAAATCTCGCTACCAATGGTGATTAAATCTAAAGATAAAGGTTGGCTCATATCACATCAAACCGTTCAAATTATTATTGTTATACTTTATTCTCAAATGATTAATGTTAACAACATCAGCATTGGTGACTATGAGTATAGTGTGTATTAGCGAGTAGATTTCAATTTCTGCACAGTCTAATCTAATT